TACCCAACATGAAAATCACCTACTAAGTAATCTTAATTACTTAATTACTTGTGGGTCTTACGACATGGCAGCAGATATTTCAGGCCATACCACAGTGGTCAGCTGAGCTTGCTTGCTTCCATATTAGCACCTTTTATTTTGCATTATTCCAAATATAAATATAGCTTTATAAAGCTGGTACTTCCATAATATACGATGAAACTTTTAAGATACAAGGAAAGATTTTAGTCATTCAACATAAGCACTAAGTAGTTATTTTTCTATGTGTCAGTCAAACCTAAAATTGAAAATGTTCAGTTTCCCAGTTAAGGAAAACATCTTGATCTTAGTCCTTTATTCCAATTAACTTTAAAAATTATAAAGGGACTTCTCTTTTAAAAATGTAAATCATATTAAATATTTTACTTTTTATTTCAGCAGTACTTAAATTTCATCTTCTCTCTTCCAATGTACATATGTTACAGTGGAGTAACTCACGCTGATTCCCTGGCATATTTCCTCAGTGACTTGAAATTAAGTCTGCAGGGACTCTCCCCTTGCTGCATTTGCCTCTTCCCTCCTGATCTTTCTGTACACTACCAGTGCATTGTTGACGAGGGGAAAGCCTACTCGGGATCATCTTTCTCTGCTGCATCATTCTGTTTCCATAAACCTAGGAGCACTTTGAAGCAGTTTGGAGATGCTTTAAACAGTAGATTGTGTGATCTGAAGTTGCCGCTTGCAGTACCCAGCAGAGGCACAGTGGGCACATTTGTGAGCACAGAAGGTTAAATTTGGGGACATAGAGAATTACTTTTTGTACAGGCAGTTTAGCTTGAATTTTTAAAGTTCTATCCTTTTTTAATCTTAAATTATGCAGAATATCTTATTTAGTCTTGTCCTGCTGTAACACATAATCAAACCACCTAATCTAAACTAAATTAGATAAATGCATTTTTCCATTTTGTCCATGTGCTAAGGATTTTCAGCATTTGCAAAAGGAATTGTAACTACCTTTTAACAGCCATTTAGAGCTCAGGACCTCAGCTGAAGGGTTACCCAGGAGCCAACTCTAAGATGACTGGTAGCAGTGTAGATAAGCTCCTCGGGGCGTTTGTGATGCTTACTGACAGTCATCCAGACATATCCCGGCAGAGGAGGAACAAACACTGTGATTGGTTCAAGTTGTTTTAATTAGGTAAACTGATTTGCCAGGTTAGGTTTTAGAGAGGTTGTGATGCATACAGATAACCTTAATAAGGTGCTGCTTGAGGAAGTTTTTTTGCAACTTTCCTTTTTCATTAACAGACATGTGAAAACAGACTTTCTTGTTAAGGGTCTGAAAGAAAGATTATTTTGTATTTGAATAATAATCCTTAATTTTGAAAATCCATAATCTCTGTAGTAGCCAGTTAAAATGTTAGCAATGCAGGATTTCGCCTGAGAAGCAGTACAGAGAGTGGGGCAGCCAAGGGCATCTGTTTTAACCTTATTTATGTATTTTAGAAACAAAGAACAAAATAGGTATATTTGTTTCATAACACAGTAAGTTTTGCAAATGGTAAAGAATATAGTATTACATTTTACTGACAGAAAGCAGTAAGAAGTTGATTCCTGTGAGTTTATTAGTTCAGTTTTTTAAAATCTTGAGACTTGATGGTTGTAGAGTCTGGCCTAGACTGTCATGGTTCTGATCCCTGTGTCACCATAGGGTGACTCACTCACCATACACCTGCAGGCATGCGCTCAGCAGCCCCAGCTTCGTCTGCAGAACTGGGATGCTGAAGATATATCTGTGAACTCTAAAATGAGTGCATGCAGCTTCCTAGAGTCAGTGCCTGCCACGTGGCAACCAAACATAACATGAGCGTTTTCTATAACAGCCTGGTTTAATCCTTGGTAAGGCAGACCTAAGTCAAAGTTGCTTACTATGGGTTATTATATTTTGACATACCATCTTGGTTCAAACATCATGGTGATATGTCATCTTGGTGTATCCAGTGTTTGGTAGCCCCTTTTTATCAATGACTTCTTTTTAACGTGCTCTTCCCTTGTAGAAAACCATATTGTTCCTTTGTTCTGAATATGGTTACCGTGAAATGCAATTGTACATACACCAAGAGTCCTTTATTACTTTGAGATCATGTAACTGAGCAGATAGATGCTCATCTAGTACAAAAACAGCATAGTTTTCTTCTCCAGTGGTTTTCAAAAATCATTTGGGGAACAATGGAATTGAATTAATACTATCCCACTTTTATATTCTTTTTTAGTACTTTTTAAATTTATTCTCTGATAATTTTATACATATGTACAATGTATCTTGATCATATCTACCTCAGCATCCCCCTCCCACTCTCCCCAAACCCCAACAATATGTGCCCCGCCCACTTTCATGTCTTTTTAAAAAACAACCCACTGAGTCCAATTAATGTTGCCCTCTGTCAGTAGCCACATACCCAAAGAAAATGGCCCCCACACACACCAGCAGCAGCTGTCAGTTGTCAGTGACTCCTCAGCTAGGAGTGGAGCAGCATGAGCCTCTCCCCTGTGCATTAGGCTGGATTATTGATTGGTTCGATCCTGTGTAGGGCTTGTGCAGGTAACCAGACCTGCTGTGCATTCACGAGTGCGACAGCTGTGTCATGTCCAAAACATTTCATAGCACTCTCCCCATTCTTCTCACAGTCTTTGTGCCCCTTCTTTCTAGGATGTTCCTTGAGACTTTGGGGTTTGGGTTTGATGCTGAGGTCTCATCCTTAGGGCACAGTTACTTATTCTTAGCACTTTGACCTGTTATGATTCTCTGCATTACTGCACTGACTGCTGCCCCTTAAAAAACAAAATCTATGGGTCTAAACATAAATATTTAGGAGGCAGTTTGACAACATGTCTGTTTAGCAAAACAAAAGTAGTGATTTGCCCCCAACACACACTAGGGACCTATAACCTCCCCAGCCATGGGCTTTTGATCAGGTTTACAGTACCAAGTGTGAATTCCCTCCTCTGAACTTGGCTTTGAGTCCAGTCAGAAAGCAGTCAGTTACTCCCATAACTGTCATGCTTGGGGTCAGTATTACAGTCTTGATCATTTGCTTTAATTCATAAAATATCATCTATATTTCTTAAATTCAAAGTCTCATCAGTCCTGTGTGGTTTTCCATATATGCTGAACTGTACCCACATGTATCAAGAGGAGAAACAGCACCCCACTTCTGAGGAAGCAGATGAGAGGCAGCCTCTCAGTTTGGTTCCTGGCCATCAGAGGGATGACAACCGTCCATAGCTCAGGAATGCAGGAATGTTCAACATGTCTTCTCCTCTTGATACTTGAATTAGAAATGGTACCTGCTGTGCTTAACTGAAAACCACCTCTCCCAGTCCCAGCCTTGTGTGGAGTATGGCAGGAAATCTCTGGATCATTGGGTAACCCTTATCAGAGCTCTGTGCTCTGGGCTGGGTGTATGGGAAATGGAAGATTAAGTTTACCCTGGCTTCCATGAGAATGGGGCCAGAGTTTATGTGGGAAGGAGGGGATTAGCATTAGAGAAAAGAAAAGATTACAGGTATAATGCTAGAGATTGTGTCCTCGATGCATTTCTGTCCAGAGCACTAAGTTCAGCTGCTAAGAAGAATCTCAGGTTTTTGTGCCTGTTGGAAGACATGTGATTTGACTCTTAACAAATCCCAGCCTGTTTCCTATTTAGGTGTACTAGAATGTCTTCCATCTACTTCTAACCCATCCTGGGCTTTGCCTTCCTTCAGACCTGCAGTATCCCATATTCTATCCGTAACTAGATCAACCAAATTAACAGTAACCTCATAGAAAGCAAGAGTGTAGTTCCGAAAGGGCAGCTCCCAGAGCTCTGCTATAGCTTCATAGTTACAGTAACAGTTTGAAAGACTTCATCATTCCATTGACCTGTGCTCTGGGTGTGGACCTGGGCTAGGAAAGAAGTGCAGGGAATGAGTAGTCAAGGAATACCAAGTGATAGGTCTGTGGCTGAGGCCAGGTGCCAGGTAGCAAATGAGTTCATCCTACACTGCTGCTTGGAATATTGTAATTGGTCTCAGAGTAAGAAATGATTTATTTATTAATTATGAATTTTATTTATAAACTAATTATTTTAGTTCATGTCACAGAGAACTAATTTCTATAATATGGATTGTCCTACAAGCCAGTACAAAAAAAGATACAAGAAAAGAATACATAGGAAATTTAAATAATTCTTAAATATATAAAAGAGTAGCACGGCCTTATAATCCTAGCTGTTTGGGAGATGGAGTTAGGATTGCATGACCTTCCTGAGCATCTTAATGAGACCTGTCTCAAATTTTTAAAAAGGGGGCAGGGTTTGTGGCTGGATGATAGAACACTTGCCTAGACTTAACAAGGCCATGGGTTTGATCACCAGTATGTCTGTCTGTCTGTCTGTCTGTCTGTCTCTCTCTCTCTCTCTTTCTTTTATATACACAGACACACACAACACATACAAAGTCTCCTGAGATAAATTAATGTTAGAACTCCCCTAGTTAACCATTCTCAACCAGTACAGTTGCAGAAATGCAAAACTTGGCCACATGTTTTGTGCTCCTGGGCCATAGGCTTTCCAGTCATGCTGCCAGCGGAAATGTAAATTGGCACAACTCCTACAGAGGGCGTATTGACTGTTTCTATCTAAATATCAAGTGAATATAACTTTTCATCTAGAATTTTAGGAATTTGACTCATAGACACATTTTCACTCATGGGACAACTTATATGTTGTGCTAGTTTGCACTAGTTGGAAGGACTGGAGTGGGCTGAAGAAATGATGGATGTATGTACCTGGGCTCTGTGTTGCCAGAAAGATGTACAACACACTAGTTGTATAGAAAGAAGCCTGCTGAGCCAGGATGAAAAGATGTTACAACATCAGCCTGTTGTTATTGCCTTTTATGCTAGTGTATATGCAGCAAAGATGACTGATTTTGAGAATACATAAAGTAAAACTCATATTTTCGTTGCTTGTGTGTTTCAGGGACAGACGTTTGCTTCAGCCTGCGCAGGTGTGTGACATTTTGAAGGGTGTCATCTTGGTAATCTGCTATTTCATGATGCACTATGTTGACTACTCCATGATGTATCACCTAATAAGAGGACAGTCTGTCATCAAACTCTACATCATCTACAACATGCTGGAGGTAAGGCCATTCACTCTCCTGTGTGGTCAGTCTGCCCCTGAATTGATGTGAATATTAATAACGTTTCCCAATTTTCAAGACAGGGTCTCCCTGTAGACCCAGCTGGCCTGGAATTTACTTTGCAGACCATTCTGACCTTAACCTCATAGAGATCCACCTGCCTCTGTCTCCTGAGTACTAGAGTGAAAGGCATGAGCCACCACGCCCAGCTCACATTTCCCAGTTTTTCTGTATACCTTCTTTCTTACTTTGTTCCCCTTTCTACTTCCTACCCCCAGCCCCCTTGGAAAACAGAATTTTGCTATGTGACTAAACCAGGCTCACTTCAGACTTGCTATATAGCCCAAACTGACTGACTGCAAACTCATCATCTTCCTGCCCTTGCCTCTCAAGTGCTGGTGTTATAGGCATGAGCCATCATGTCCAGCCCAGTACTTAGAATATATTTCACTTTTAAACAGTCAGCATGTGCAAATCTGCATTTGTGCAAAAGACAAATTCACTTACAAAATAACCTTTGCTTTATAGGCAGAATCCTAAACTTTTTAAATAGCCTACAGTATGTTATATGAATAAACAGTGAAATTCAAGTTGCCTTTTTCCCCCCTAATATGTTAATCAAGTGCTCTAGTGAGCTATGCCTGCCCCTTTTATTATTTTTTTTTTTCAGGATACACATAAGGTCTGTCTGTCTTTTAAATTACCTGTGAAGAGATATTCCCCACTGAGGGAACAGATGGAGTGATTGGGCAGCAGGCAGATCTCTGGGTTGCCTTGCTGTGATAGGCAAGGGCCTGCCATCTCTTCACAGAAGCCATGAACACCCCTGGATAACCTGGTTACTACTAAATTCAAGATCATGATGCTTTAAAACCAGTCTACCTCCCTGATTGTAGGCTTGTTGCTTGTGTATTTGTTTGCCCCATCAGGTAGGTTGGAGAAGTGGCTGTGAGTGAGTCTGTGCATAGCAAATGTCAGGCACATGATGAGATCTCCCTAAGGGAGAGATGGCAAATGGCAAGGACGTCCTGCCTGCCAAACAGTGTCTTAGATCTTGGAGATACAGAGATGAACAAGCCGACTCTGGTAAAGCTAAGGGGAGACAGACAATGAAAAAGGAGGTGTTAGGAAATGAAAGAGGGCGTAATGACAAGGAACAAAGACCATGGAGCCACCAGAGACTAGGCAGTCTGGGAAAGGCTCTCCTTGGAAGTGGGGTTCCCCCAGCTCCTAAATGATAGAAGCCTCCTTTCTCACTCTTAATGTGCCTCTATGTTACACTGAATTTAAAGAGGTCAGAACTTCTTATACCTTTAAAACGTGAATCTGCATATTATATTCTTTAATAAATTTCAAATAGTCTACAACTGCATTATTTATAAGTGTTGGGTATGTGTAGACTGAGTCAGATGATATATTTATCCTGAAAACTTTAAATTTGAATCCTGAGTTTAAAATGCTAAAACCAGAGGAACCCTGTTTCTATGTACCTATCTCATCTCATGTTTGCCACTTTATATGACATCCATTTTAACAAAGAGCTACTTCAACAAAATCTAATTTGAAGCCTATGCGTGTTGATAGCTCAGCACATTCCAGGGAATAAGCCTGAATGAGTAAGTAAGCAGGATCCTATTCTTCTGTCACTTACTTTCTATGAGACTTTAAAAATCAGGTCCAGCTCTCTGACCCGCAGGCCTCTCTCCAGGGTAAGTCAGTTGTGCCCTCCACACCTTGATTCACCCAGCCTCATTTACCCTCCCATCTCTCCTGCCCGTCTCTCCTGGGTCCTGTCCCATTCCTTGTCTTGGCGCCCCAGACACCTGGGGAACCACCACTGCTTCCTGATCCTTTGCATTCAGACCAACCCAGTTCCTTCTCAGGTCCCCAGGAGCACTCTGGGCCTGGCCTCGCCCTCACCTCCCCCTGCTTCCCTGGGCCTGCAAGACCAGCAGGCCTCTCCCACCCACAGGCCTCTCTCCAGGGTAAGTTGATCGCACCCTCTGCACCTTGACTCCCGCAGCTTCATTCACCCTCCCATCTCCCCTGCCTGTATCTCCTCTGGCCTGGGTACTGTCCCATTCCTTGTCTTGGCACCCCAGACACCTGGGGAACCACCACTGCTTCCTGATCCTTTGCATCCAGACCAACCCAGCTCCTCAGTGTAGTCCCCAGGAGCCCTTGGGGCCGCTTCCCACCCCCATCTGCCTTTGCAACTCTGGGTGGCACAGCCACTAGCTGCCCTAGACCAGCATCTTTCCTCAGCCTGGCTCCCAGGCCAGTCCAAGCCCCAAATTCCTGAGGCCAAAATCGTTCCTGGAGGGATCCAGACCTTAGGAGAGAGCCTGAAAAAATCTGACCAACATCTGACTTAAACTTAGAGAAACCAGCTTTTCATGCCCCAAAAGTAAACGACAAAGACACATGAAGTTCACAAAAAAAGCAGACCTAAACTTCAAGGCTTGAATCTTACACAAGAATCAGAAACTACAAAAGAAATCCACATGTTGAAATCCCAGAGAAAAAATAATAACATAAAAAACCAAAATACAATATCCCCACCAAATACCAATAGTCCTCTAGAGGAGTACAATGAGAGCCCCCTAGAGATAATGCAGGACATGGAACTCAAAAGAACAATTATAAACATGATAAAGAAATGCAGTGAATCTAAATAACACACAAATCAAAGAACTGAGGAAGATAGGGATAAACTTCTGAAAGAATTAAGAAAAGAGTTAGAAATATTGAAGAATACTCAGGCTGAAATGAAGAAGGAAGTAAAACACTCAGTAAGCCAATTAGAAATGACAGAAGAAAGCCTCAGCAATAGGATGAATGAAATGGAAAACAGTATCAAGACTGGAAGATAAAGTGGACGAACTAGACCACTCAAGCAAAGATTATGAAAAATTTAAGAAATCACAAGAATGGAATATGCAGGAATTGTGTGACACCATAAAAAGACCAAACTTACAAATCATAGGCATAAAGGAAGATAAGAATCCCAAGATAATTGCACAGACCAGATCGTCAACATAATCATAGAAGAAAATTTCCCAAAATTAAAGAAAGACATTCCCATGCAAATACAATAAACATCTGGAACACACCAAACAGACAGGACCAGAAAAGAAACTCTCCTCAGCACATCATAGTAAAAACACTAAATGTGCAAAACATAGAGACAATACAGAAAGCTACAAAAGAGAAACAATAAGTCACATATAAAGGAAAACCCATTACGATTACAGCTGACTTTTCAGTGCAAACTATGAAATCCAGAAGAACCTGGACCAAAGTATTTCCAGTTTTAAATGATCGCAGATGCCAACCCAAATTACTACACCCAGCCAAAATGGCTATTATAGTTGAAGGGGAAAGAAAAATCTTCCATAACATAAATAGGCTGA